GCAGGGGAGCAGCAGCAAGATTCCCCAGAAAAGTCTCCAGTTATGAAGCAAACCAAGTGGTGGTTGCATCAGTTTAACTGCCTCCATCTGTGAACTGACACAGAACAGGACAGTAGTCGGGGGAAATGAGTTTTACATGAGGTGTTATACTAGCAGCAAATTATTAACTACATAAAATCACTTCACTCTTCCCATATTGGAGGAGTGCTGCAACCCTGCTTAACCCACTGGAAGTTAGTGTTTTTGGCAAACCACAGCAAACATATAAAAGCATCCACACTTCCTCCCCTTCTTTTTACCCATTCGATCCCTAATCAAAACCCCGCTACCACACATTGTAACAGTTTACCTGATCTAGTCATTTCTGCTAGTACCACAGGTACAACAATAGGACTGAAAAACTCCCACGATGGTCACAGTATTATGAAGGATTACATCAATACTGAAGGAATGGAGGAATTTCCCTTGACAGTTCATGGCATAAAGTAAAGTCCCTCACAAGTGAACTTCATGTGCAGTAATGGAAATAAAAACGTAGGCTAGGGAAGGAATAGACAGACCTAGCAATTTTATACTATAGTTACATATTGTGCTATTCAACAATCCCAGCAAGTTAATACTTCCACATTGTATCCCCTAAAAGCCTCTATTCCCTCATCCTTCCTACACCTCAGGCAGCATTACATTTTCTTGGATAGTGATGACAGTATAAAAGAGAGCTACAAACCTACGGAGAAGCAAGCATTTCCAGCATTAGCAGACTTTTTTGACAATGAGGAAAGCAGCTGATGCAGTAAGCCCTTCTTCGCGGTGCTAGTGTTCTGGCATGCAAGTTACACAGGCAGCTTCCTGTTTATCCCAGGATTATGGAGAACTTCAAGGCTGTTTAACCCATTCTGCCTATAAAATTCATCAGGCAAAATGCTTTTGGCACACATCTTACCTGCAACTACACTTTGGGTCCTTTATTATTAATAAGAATATGGAAAATATACACAAACTCCACCACATACACATACTAACTTCAGTTCTATGTAAGGTCTATCACAAATACTTACAGCATTATGTAGATTACTTCATCCTTAACAAAAAACTTTTTTCTGTTCTGATAATTAAGTTCACAGTGTCTTTTCCCAGAAGAGACTGTAACAAACTGAAACCCACAGATGAAAATCTAAATTCTGGTTTCCACTTCCTCGCTGGAACAAGGATCATATCTTAACTGATCTACGAATTAATTAAACTGTTTCCTCATAAGACAAAGTGAATTGGCCCCAAATACATTAAAAATCAAGTTCCGTATTTCTAGATTAGCAAACTAGATCTGCAAAGATCAGTGGGAGTTTTGGCAAATGCTCTGTTACTTTAATAAGACTAAAAATCCAGTCTAATTTATTTAAATATGAGGGACTGCGGCTCTGGCAGCCCACCAGTAGGACACAGCTCACTCTGAAGAGTCTTCTTCCCTGAGAGTTTCCTGGGAATAATCGGCAATGGCAGCAGAGTGCTTTAGGCCGTTTTCTTTCCCTCAGCCAAGCATATCCTTCTCACTGTATTTTGGGAACATCTCTGATCAAGCAAAGGAAGAAAGCTGATGGCTGCCCCAGAAAAATGGCAGCTGAAAGCAGACTTATCACCTGCATTCATTTCAGTTACAGCTTGCTCAAACCAAGTCTGAGACTCTAAATACCAGCCAACACCATATACTCTGTGAGGAGCAGTCTGTCTCTTACTATTCACTTTCCTGTTTCTGAGTTCCCTGGGAGGAGCGAGCTGCAGGTGGGAAGCATGTGTCTACTTTACACAATGCACCACACCTAGGAGGTGCAAACACTTCACATTCAGTGCTTAAGGGAAGAGCTACATGGTATACGCAGTGTACATCCAGCTGCACAGTATGGGTGTTTCACACACTCCCCTAAGCAGGAAAAAGTGGTGTGATCTATCCACCTCAGAATTTCAGCACTGTAGTTGCAAGGTATGATGTTTAATCATCACTGTTTAGCTTTTTAATTGGAAAGATTTACTTTGATCAGATGAGGACCAGAAAAGGGTAGCTCCTGTCCATCAGATGCAAATGTACAAGCTTCCACCAATTCAATTTATTCAAGGCCTTCAAGATGATCCAGAGGTTGTAACATAAGAAACCCTTTCCCCTCTCCTTTCATCATTCAAAAAAAGACTGTAGAATTCAGATTTCTCAAAGGTTATTAAGTCTTTCATACTGGTGCTAAACCTGGAGAAATATGAAATACTTGCCAAGAAGCATTACCAATTAAATTCCATTATAGCTATTTTATATTTGGCATTAGAAAGAACAATGCCACAATAGAGCTAAAAATGTGTGAGCACAGACTATCATCCCATATACACACAGTAGCCCGCAGCAAGCTGACAGCAAGCACTCTGCCTTGTGGTTAAGACTAAGAAGGCAAGAGAGCATCTAGACTGGAGATTTGAGTTTCCATGACCTGATAGCCGGTACCACTCCAAGCAACAGCTCATCAATACTTTCACTTATAAGCTGAGAAACAGTTGGAGATCAAACCCTTAATGAGGATAACTAACAATAAGAAAAAGGCACTATCTCTGCTATTAGAAAACAGCTGTTAAAATTTCTAAGAGGAGAATTCCTTACTCAAGTAATCTGCTCCTGCATTTATCAGTGTCAATGCTTGTATCCTTAGTGATACTTAGAACAGAAATCATAGAATCATTTAGTTTGGAAAAGACCTTTAAGATCATCAAGTCCAACCATTGACCTAACACTGCCAAGTCCACCACTATACCACACCCCTAAGCACCACATCTACACGTCTTTTAAATACCTCCAGGGATGAGGAGTCCACCACTTCCCTGGGCAGCCTGTTCCAGTGCTTGACAACCCTTTCAGTGAAGAAATTTTTCCTAATACCCAATCTAAACCTCCCCTGGTGTAACCTGAGGCCATTTCTTCTCATCTATCACTTGTTACTTGGGAGAAGTGGGGGAAGAGACTGACCTCCCGCCTCACTACAACCTCCTTTCAGGTAGTTGTAGAGAGCAGTAAGGTCTCCTCTCAGCCCCCTTTTCTCCAGACTAAACACCCCCAGCTCCCTCAGCCGCTCCCCATCAGACTTGTGCTCTAGGCCCTTCAGCAGCTTTGTTGCCCTTCTTTGGACACTTCCTTAGCCTTGTACAACCTTTCCAGCTACACAGGGTGATCCCATTTCAGTTTGCTACCCAAGTGAATGACTTCATCTAAATTTTGCACCCCTATAGAATTTCTGTTGATATAAGCCATACCACTCTACCAACATCATTCCTTCTATATTCACACTCTGAGAATAAACATCGTAGAGAAATGTTTTGGTGTAACTCCTTTTCAAAAACAAGACCAACTGAACCTGCGGAAGTTCTTAAATCACAAAATTGAAGCTGAAAAACACAAAATCCTGCAAAACCAGTATGAGGCCAGCTGGCCTGGAAAGAGGAAGCCAATTTTGTCCATACTAGTTCACAAGGGAAAAACAGGCATGAACTGAAGTTACAATGACAGCAATTTTATGGAAACAAAAAACAAAACCAAAGAAGAAACATGTTTTGTAAGAGCAAAATAACCCTAACATCTTGTATTTCTCTCCCTCTATCCAGTAAATGATGAAGTTAGTTTGATGTTAGAAAGTTACTTACTAAAACCTAGACACAAAGAGTTTGACAGGGATAAGAGAAGATAGCTTAGGCAATTTCCTAACTCCCTTCCAGTTAAATGTTATCAAACCTAAATTTAATAGCAGACTGTACAACAGCTGCCAACAAGGGCTCTGGCAAACTTTACAAACGTGATTGAGCTCTAGAGCCGCCAGCACCAGCAAGCAAATTCTGATTCAAGCTTAAAAATAAAAATCAATTCAAACCATTAATGTTTACAATTTAATAAACCCTCCTGAAACTATAATTTGGTTGCTATTGTAATGGATGTCTAAACATTTTAGAATTTTTTTAACCCAATTACAATTAATTTCATGTAAGATGGGTTTGTACTGTACAGACAGAAAAAGCAAAGAAGAACTTTTAGTGCTGTGCACTTCTAGATACGCCAAGAAACTCACCAATAAGGCGAGAGTAAAGTGTACACTACAGAAGATTTTAAAATAGCCGAGGCTACTGCACCGTAAAACAAGTACTACCTGTTTTCCCCTCTTTCCACTTTTTTGAAATTATCCTTTCTACACTTAGATTTATAACTGGAAACATGTAAACATGAAAGTTGGAGGGGGTGAAACATTTACTTGAGGTGCTCAAATTATTTTTCTGATTATTATGATAAAAAAAGGAAATTTCTTTCAAATCTGAAAGACTGAAAAAGAGTTCGACAGAAGCTTAATCTCTCATGCATGCCGAAGTCTGGTATCAGACATCGCATATGTCCACTTTAGAGCCCAGTCTAACCAAACTTCATGCTGCAAACTTATTCTCTTCATTTGTTTAAAATCCTATGCAAATCTGGAAGCACATTATGCAGCCAAACTGATTATCCAGGTGTCTATATTATCCAGGATGTCATATAAAACTCTTAAGCACTGAACAAACAGCTGCCTTGACCACAGTCTCCAGCCAGCCACTCAAAACTGAGCTGCATAGAAAAAACAAACTGTAAACCAGGCAGTGCCCACCATGGCTTCTTCCAGTATTAGTAAGCCAGTGCTAAATATAATGAGAACTTGACACAACATCCAGGTTAATCTGCAGTGGTGAGGCCAGGCAGGCTTCCAAATAATCACGAACCTTAACATTGAAGATCTAGCCCCATTTTAAATCAAATCAGATTGTACGTATGAAGCAGAATGTTAATTATGCAAAATAATTTAATTCAGCATTACTAACATTGCTGTTAACTTTGTTCTGCATCTCTTCTTACCATCGTAAGTTCTGACTTAAAAAAAAAAAAAGAGTGGTATGCCATCACCTCTCAAGGGAAAGAAATAGCACAGCATAAGACAAGAACAGCCAGATCATACCTCTGAGGTTTACGAATATCCCAGAGTCCCACACCTTCTTTAGAGTTGGCAGTCGCCAGTAATCTGGGTTCTACTGGATTAAACATCACACTGTGAAAGGCTGACGGATAGTGTGCCAAGCAGAAGGGCTCTGTTGAAAAAGTTGAGATTTCAGACATAAGAACAAACAATGCATACAAATGTTCAATGCAATGAGTTTGGCGGCTTAATATGGAAACAGCATAACAAGATCTGAAGATACGGAGACGTGTTCAAACCATTTCTCAAGCTGACACATCCAAAGCAATATAAAACCTGAGGTTTTAAAATCCACCCACACATACATTAACTTTGTCTAAATATGGAAAAGGACAGACACCAGATTTCAAGACACCATTTTGCTTATGTAAGGTTATCAGAATTTAAAACTAGCCATTCAAAGATCAAGTATTTGAATCTTCTTAAGGTTCATGATCAAATGGTCATCTAATAAGGACTACACACAGGCAGGGGGAGCTGCTTCTGAAGGCTTCCTAGCAATATGTGGCTAGAAGCTTCCACAGCCATCAATGATCACCCAAGCTGCAAATGTAGCAGCAACTGCTCATATGGGAGAATAATATTACAAAGAGTGAAATGGAGTTTGTATGGAACTCAGCTCAAAGCAAGCCGCCAACCCTGGCGAAAAGAGGCCTGCCAACTCTTAAGTGCTGTACACATAGACAAGAAGGGTGCTTCTCTTGTACAAAAAGTGTTAACAGTTGGCTTTTGCTGTTCACGCAGAGTTAAACACGCTCATCCAGACCCTCTCCCTCTCATCTTGATCAGTGTAACAAGGCTGTTTAGTCTGCTACTCTGCCCTATTCATTCTGTCAAAATGCTGCCTCCATGAAGAGCGGGAGAAAGTCTTGACTCTGTCATCCTTCTCTGTATCTTTCTGCTAGCTTTATGGCTTTAGGCACAGTTTAACTCTCTTTGTTGTGTGTATCTTTTGTGGCATGCTGCCACTCTTTCACTCAAATAAGAAACCAGAATCAATGCCTATTTTGAGCCAGAGACTATGCCAGACTCTTCCATTCACTGTTTGCTTTGATGCAATCACTGTGTTGCTCGCATGCGTGGCAGACTCTGTTACTGACCTTATTTGAGCCACTGTGTGCAGTACCTTTAGCCCCAGAAGCACCTCCAAAGATACCTTCCTTTCCTTGTATCCCTCATTAAGACTTATAAAACATGGTTAAACAAACAACCCTCCCAAATTCCCAATACTCTCTGAAACTATTGCCCATCCAGCAACTGAGACAGAATTAACATTTACTTGTCCTGCCCCCTGTGTGTCTTCCTCTTATGCTCTATTACAAGCTTTTTGACACAGGGACTTCCCTTTTTAGCGTTCATTTAGCAGTCATCAAAACAAAGGTTTCTGACCACGGCTGAAGCTCCCTGGTACTTTTAATTGTCACAGGAGGCAGAGGTAAAGGGAATAACAGGAGCAAACTTTTGTTCTGCCAGCCTGCCCAAAGGCTTTAAATTGCTGTTGGTCTGCCGCCAGTTTCAAGTAAGGTTTAACACCAAAACTGACCTTCTACATTTGCATCATCAAATCAGATCCCTGCTGGGACATAAAAGGCTGTGTTATTAAAATGGCAGCCGCCACTGAGAAGTAATGGCCTATATTAGCTGAGCGGAGAGACAAGCAACATCCGATTGCCAAATAAAGGAGTTGTTTTTTAAAATAAACTTTTAATTTGTCTATGTCTGTGTAGTCAAATCACTGTCACTAATTACTGGTGTTTTCCTTAACACCTTTATTATAAATAGCCTGGCCTGGAGTACCACAGGTTTCTTCTAAGATATCAAAAGTTGCCTTTCAGCCTGTCAAAGAGAGATCACAGGAGCTAAACTAATGAGGCACTAAGTCACTTTAATGACAAGTAGGGGGATTACTTTTTTATTGTTCTTTATGCTTATTCACAATTGTAGCTCTTACACACTGGAGTATGAAAATGTTTTTCAAGGGACAAGCTCAACACCACATCTAACAAAAATCAAAAATAAGTTTATAAAAATTACTGCACAAATCACTCTGCAGTGAAAGACAGGGAGAAACAGAAGGGGAATGAAATGCTTTTTCCAGCTTCTTTTAATGCATTATTTTAAACTAGGAGGTTATTTGCAAGATTATAATGAGCTGGCCACTCAGAGTAACTAACTATACTCACACTACCAGGCATAGTGCCTATTCCCATGAAAGCAGATTACTCCAGTGACAAGCATTATATTGTAGTAAACATTGGCAGGGGTCACATATAAATGCTGACTCAGGACTCCTATATAAGCATGCAAAAGCCCTTCACTTAAAATTCAGAGAACTTGAGACACTACTCCAAAAAAGCCTCAAATGTACCACAGCCAACACTTCTTCACTCCATTTTCACTGGTGCAGCCTTCTCATTCAAAGTCTCAGCAACAGTAAAAGCAGTAGCAAGGTTTAACTACAACAAAGAAGGACAAACTTCATTTCATACAATTTCAGAAATTCAGATCAGATTGGACGTTAGCTTATAATACTGAGCAGATTCATACAGATGCATTTAAGCATCCAGTCCCACTGACTGTTGACATCCACTGTCAGCAAGAAGTAGCTCTCATAACAGAAACAGATTTTTGTGGTGTAGAGATCAGAAGGCAAAAGAGGAGCATTTCACCATTTCTAATTTGGAAGCCATATTCAGTGTCTGGTCTTATCACTTGGATATTATGAAAACAGAAAAACAGGGATGAAGTGACACTTGGATTTACCAAAGGTGAATTAGTCATATCAGACTAATTTGATCTCTTTCTTTGATAAAGTAACCGACTTCCTATACAGGGGAAAAGTGGTAGATCTAATGAGGATTAAATTCACGTGTGGTATAGTATCAAGTTTAGCTACAGGCAGTTGGGATTAGCAAAGGGAGTTGCATGGGGTGAGAAACTGTCTGAAGGAAGACAACAGTTCACTGTGCTAGTAAGGGACTTCTGAGCAAGAGGAAGGTTATTAACGAGCTCCTCAAAGTCAGAGAAGAGACATTCCAGATATTTTTATTAAAGTCTGTGATATACATACACTTAGTGTGTGCATTGTTTTTCAGAATGTTTTAATAAAGTTACCAGATGGGAAAGAGATAAGGGGTATTACAATTGTACAAGAGAATCAGAATTTACAGTAAGAATCAAACTACTGAAAATTGAATGCAGTGCTAGTATATTTAATTTTTATTTATACAAAGGCTATAGGCCTGGGTAGGGAGGGCATCAATAAGCAATCTACTCTGAGTATTCGGGTGGGGCTTATCAAGAAAGACCTAATTCTGGTTACTCACATTCAATAAAGCCCTCACGATACTAGTGGCTCTAAAAGACTCCTATGAAACTACAAAGTATGTCTTGTTTCAGTTTTCGTTTCCTAGTCAAAAAAGAACAGAATCACAGTCTAGAAAAGTTATCAAATTCACTAGGTATGGAAAAAGCTAATTCAGTTAAACAGCAACTTTAACATGACATCAAATGTGTACAAATTGCCACAAAATACATAAGCTGGATTTCAGTGCCATAAACAATTTTCCTGTAAGACCACTATAAACTATGAGTTCAGGCAATTGTATTTAATAAGCTTACAAAAAAAGATAAAAGTTTATTATAGCTATGAAGGAAGAGAACCAGATTCTGTACCCCTGCAGATTGCTCAGTTTTAAGTTCTCAGACTTGTGTTCTTTCGGATGGAGTTAACTCACAACTTCATTTACTGAAGCATTATTTAAGTATTCATATACTGACATTCAGTTACTGAAGTATTCCTCTCCAAATTTACGTAACTACAGTTCTAAACTGAGATTCTTCAGCCTTAAAACTGCAGCTGTAAAAACACAGATTGTAGTGTTTTGAGAAGCTGCAGGTTTGTTACATAAATCAACAGTATTCAGTTCTGTTTTAGAAAACAAAGATTGAAGTAATAATTCAACTTCCTTGTTATCACATAAGGACTCTTAAGTTTCCACACAACTAGAAAACTTTATGCGTAAGAACAATTCTCAGTGTCACAGGGAAGTATATAGAGAGCTTTGCAAAATTATTCAAATCAAAATAACAGCTTTCTAAATGTCCAAAAATTTTTCATCCCAGGTTATAGACAAAAACAAAACAAAAAATTCACATTCATAACAGATTTCAAGTTTAGCAAGACATTTTTATTGAAGAAACATTTCCTCCACTGCTTCTTTACTCAAGTTAAAACCTATTCATACCAAGTTCTATGCTAGCTTGTACTACATGCTGGATGAAGTCATTTAAGACAGGAACACTGAACCGTAAAGACGAGGGCTTGCCTATCACCACCCACAAGAATTATGCCTCACTTTCACCTTTCTTCAACACTCTCTTGTGTCGATTGTCCCAGATAAACGTAACTTTTCCTTTCCCTGCCTTGCCAAAATTCTTCCTAAATCAATGATGTTTTCCATCTAGAGATCTCACCTCCATGGGAAGACTCTCGGATGTCCCAAATAAGAACCCGGCCATCATCTGATGAACTGGCAAAGATATTGTCATTTACTGGGCTCACCGAAAGGCCGTACACTGCATCTTCATGGGCAAACACATCTAAGGTCTCAGTGCTGGAAAAGAGACACACAATATTATCATTCTTCCTTCTTTCGCTGTTGTTTTAAAATGCAAAGTATTTGCAGCTTTATCTACCTTGTAAGATTTAGTGACAAGGTTTATCTAACTTCGTAAGAAGACTCTTGTGTTTAGAGTAAAAAAACAAAATACCCATGTAGAGCGACCAAGATGTCATGCTATGAGGACAAAACAAACCCTTAGACTAAAACCCACACATTAAAAGCTTCAGAAACTGCAAGATGCTATAGAAATCATGTTGTATTAGAGTAAGCTTGGGACGAGGTAACAGGAAAGAGGTCTTGGGACCTGTGGCCTAAATTTTTACTACTTAATGTAAGAAGGAAAACAAGGCAGAAGTTCATTCTTTAATACGGGCTTCTGTATCATCCAAAAGTTCAGCTTAAGCTCACAAAAGGGCAACTTTTCAGCTAGCTTTTTAAGCCAGTTTTCTTGATTCTCCAGGATAGACCAGGCCTGTATTTTTTCCAGACAGAAAAAGCAGAAAAAAAAAAAACAAAATAAAAGTACATGCCCTGAAAGTGCCTAGATTTCAGTCATTCCACAGCTATTAGAAAAAAGAAAAAGTCCATTCTTCGATCTTTTCCCAACTTTTTAGATCATTTAAGAAGGAGGAAATAGTGGCATGGAGAGCCCAAAAGCTAAAATACTAAGACAGAAGATTCTGGGGTTGTTTCATTTCTCTGGCAAAACCCCTTTATTTCTTTAGAGAATACACTTTGTATACAATCCCTATACCCCATGGAAACTCCATCAAAGACATCCCATGTAAAATCAGTGTTTTGCTCACATGGCAACCAATGTTCTTAGTGACAGATCTACTAATTCTCTCTCATGGACCATCAACAGAAAGACCAAAAAAGCAGTAACGGAAAAAGCCATTTAAAAGTATGAAAAAGTAGTTGATAGACCAAGTGTGACCATTCAAGAACACAGAGTAACTTTCTATAGAAATCAATCAGAATTCAGTGTCTCAGACTAGCAAGGTTTCTTTCAGAAGATCACACAAATAGCCTTGGAGGAATGAATTCTGTATGCACTACAACTGGACTTAGCATACCTTAACCTCCCACCCCGCTGACAAAAACACATTAAAAACACATACCTAGCAAAAAGACTTGTTAAAACATCTAAGCAACATATAACAGTAAAAAATGTGTTATACAGAAAATCGTCAAGGACAAAGATCTTGTAGAAGTTTAAAAAGCCAGAACACAGGAATCGCCAGCATCTAAAATTTTGACATCTCCACATTTAATTAAAACAACAACAAAACCAAAACATCAAACAAAAAACCCTCACAAAAACAAACACCCTTGCAAACCAAACAAAAAACCCTACAAAAAACACACATCCCCCCCAAAAAAACCTCACCCCCCAAAAAGTCAAACAAAAAACCACCCAAACATCAAACAACATAATATTCCTGGCAAAGAATCAGAAGAGTAAGACAAAGTTACTTTTGCTTAGCTCTCATGTAAGATTTGTACAAGAAGTAGATAAGGTATAATGGAAGGCAGATGTACACTGATCAGTTCAATGCAAAAGGCTTTGGACAAACCTAGCAAGACATATTGCTGTCCAAATTACGTTAATCAGGATTCAGGCAACTCAAAAAGATTTAAGGTTTTACATTTCTCTGCTCTTACATATATCTCTTCCTGCTTTTTCTTTATACTTGATTTTTCTGGAGTTCATGCTATTTAAACATTCATTGCTTAAATCTGTAGAAGTTATTAGTACAGACTAGAATTTTAACTTTATAGTTTTTCTACTTCAAAAGAGGTAAGCTCAAAAGATATGATATCTACAGAAGTCCAATCTAATACATTACCACTACTGTATTAATTCTATTTTGACTAACAGCCTGATGTAGCACCACAAAGTCTAATTCCCAGATGCTTTGCAGTTTTGGTAAAAAGTAAGTATCAAAATAAATGAGCTTCACATTAGTGTGGAGAATCAGGCAGCTGCCCTCAAAAGTTTTAAAAGGTAGTTAGGCAGGACAAGCACTAGCTATCTTAAATACAAGTCAGGTGAGTGTTTTGAAAAACAAAACAAAAAGCCTGTATGTGCCACAATACTTGTATATGTGCCAAAATAATCTGGCTCTGAATCTACTCAGAACCTACTATGCTGCCTGTAGGAGAGCTTATGTATTTAATAACCATTCTCTTTCCCAAGGTTAAAACGATGCAGAACCCAACAGCTGAAAAAAATATGGGGTAATGGGAAATATTTCATTCCAGATATGAATTTAGATAAATAAAAACAATGTTTCAGGATCAAAACACTGTGCTCTTCTTCCAGACCATTAATTTAAAACAAAACGTGCCTCCAGTGAGTTGACATTAAGGGAGCTCTTGAAGCAGTGAAAACACAAACCATGTATTTACCTTTCAACATCATGGAGTATAACTTGCTCATCATTGCCTAAAAAGAGAAATATAAACACTTAACATCATGTTCCAGTGGTTAAAAAGCATTACAGTGAAAATAATAAAAAACAGTAATTTTTTTTTTTCAAATTTGCCATTTCAAAAACAAAACTGAAGCAGAGAGACGACCAGTTCAGGTGCCAAGTGGTCAGCCCTCTGCTCAGCTATGTGAAAGGCTCCATGTGACATTTCCAGTCATGATCAAATGCACAAATCCATTCCATCTGCTACTGCTCAACCAATAATTCTACTTAACCGTGTTACTGACCATTCTTTGTTCAGTTGAGCTTGAGTTTTGGGACATTCGCAGTAAAGAGCACAGTATTATATGAAGTGGCAGAACACCTTTAACTCTCATGCAAATACATCTTTCTTCCTGCTCAGAGGATGCTCCATAAAAAGATATGGAAGGTGAAAAGAATGCCATAAGCAAAGTGCACTGGGCTCCCAGCTCAAATGCCACCACTTCTCACTGTCAAGCGTTCAGGATTTTGCAACCATTGAGAAGGCAGGAACATGACAGTCACTGTAATTTCTTATTAGCAAAAACCAAACCAAGGAACCGAATAATCACGTCACCTTTCTTTGATCCCATCCATTGATTACAATGGAAACTAACCACATGCATGTAGACTAAGAGGGTCAGGGCTACAGAGTAATTCCACTGGCTCATGCAGCGTTTTTCAAGCTAAAGCAACAGGGCATTTTTTTTAGTATCTGCGCTGAATATTAATTTATCTAATTTGGCACCTCCTCTTTAGAAGTATTTAAGGAGACACACATTTACATTTAATTCAGAAGAAAAAAACAGAGAGCCCACAGAGTCATATTTTTATGCTCAGTATGCCTTTGTAGTTGCAATAAAGCTGTGAAGCTTTCCTAATGTACACCAAAGCCACAGGTTCAGAAGGAGCAAGGTTTCACGTTATGATTCTTCAGTGTTCAGTTGACTCAGTTTTCATTTATCCCATACACATTTCAATGTATATTCTGACCCAACAGAAGAAATATGAGAAAGTTTCTCTTTGACTAATGAGGTGTGAGATTTTTCTACATCCACTTACTCTTTGCACAGGCTCCTAGTTAAACCATGCCAGCCTCACATTACTGCAGTAGCTCATCTTTTCCATGGTACAATAAACAAGTCACTTATGTGTAAGCGTCCTTTGGTCATTAATTGCAATGAAAACTGCCCATTATACATTACAGGCAAGGTTTATATGTAGTAAAACTACTCTGGCGCCTGTGTATTTCACCAGTGAAAAATGTAGCCTAGTTTCTCCAGTGACAGAATGTCGACCAGCAGACACTCCTGATCCTCACTCTCCATACAGTATGAACCCAAGAATCATTCTAGATGCCTGACTTCAGGCCTCTAGTCATCATGGAATAACCTTCCCTTCCATCACAAGCTCCAAAATAGGAAAGAAAGAACGAAAGGAGAGGGTGTGTGGAATAACCACTGCTTCTCTCTGGTGTGTGTGGGAGAAGATGGTGACAAAAATCTAACCACAAACTGCTTGTTTCCTTCTGGTAAGGATTCATCCCTGCAGAAAACATCACTGCTGTTCAGCCCAGCAGGATTCCCATTTGCAGTGTTTAACACAGCAGAGTTCATTCTTCATTGACAATAACTGGGTTGTAATTGTATACACAACTTTCCCATTTATAATCTCTCTCGTTTTGATAACTGCAGTTATGACGATCAGAAAGACAGGAAGTATCTGCCATTCCCTTCAATTATACCTGTGAGGATGAAATACTGCAGAGCACATACAGAGGAGCACAGTTAAGGTGGTCTAAAACCCGTATCTGTCACATCAGGCCTCTACAGAAACAAATGCAGTTCCCTGTAGGTTTATTTCAGCTTTTCATATACCTAACATAGAATCATTATGGTTGGAAGAGACCTCAAAGATCACCAAGTCCAACCATATACCCGATGCCATCATGCCCACTAAACCATGTCTCGAAGCGCCACATCTAAACGTTTTTTTGAACACCTCCAGGGATGGTGACTCCACCACCTCCCTGGGGAGCCCATTCCAATGGTTAACAACTCTTCCAGTGAAGAAGTTCTTCCTAATATCCAGCCTGAACCTCCCCTGGTGCAACCTGAGACCGTTTCCTCTTGTCCTATCGCTAGCTACGGGGGAGAAGAGACTGACCCCCACCTCACTACAACCTCCTTTCAGGTAGTTGTAGAGGACGATAAGGTCTCCCCTTAGCCTCCTTTCGTCCAGACTAAACAACCCCAGCTCCCTCAACTGTTCCTCCTAAGACTTTTTCTCCAGGCCCTTCACCAGCTTTGTTGCTCTTCGTTGGAAACACTCTAGTAGCTCAGTGTCCTTCTTGTAGTGAGGGGTCCAAAACTGAACACAGTATTTAAGGTGCATCCTCACCAGTGCAGAGTACAAAGGGATGATCACTTCTCTAGTCCTGCTGGCCACACTATTTCTGATACAGGCCAGGATGTTGTTGGCCTTCTTGGCCACCTGGGCACACTGCCGGTTCATGTTCAGCCGGCTGTCGACCAACACCCCCAGGTCTTTTTCTGCCGGTCAGCTTTCCAGCCACTCGTCCCCAAGCCTGTAGCGTTGCGTGGGGTTGTTGTGACCAAAGTGCAGGACTCAGCACTTGGTCTTGTTGAATCTCATACTGTTGTTCTCGGCCCATCGATGCAGACTGTCCAGATCCCTCTGCAGAGCGTTCAACATCAAATGCAAAAAAAAAAAAAAAGTCCATGCAGTTTACTAAGAGGAGATCTTCCATTTCAAATGCTGCTCTACTCTCTGTGTGTGGACAAAGGACAACAGTATTATTCAGGGATGGAAACTTCTTTGGTATCTTGAGACAGCTTTTTGCTCCAGAGATTACATGCAGAACACTGTCCACTCAGTTCCTGCCTCCCATTTTTGTAATGGCTACATGTGGTGCATGCTACACATGCGCTCCTTCAAAGCAAAGAGCTTTGAAATTCCTTGGATGCAATCCAATTTGCACTGAAGTGGAAAATCCTTTCTCCTCTGCTATCAAGAGCTGCTTTAGGGAAAGGTCGTCAGATCCTAAGTCATTAGTCGTTTGCAGCTTTATTTACAGAATTAATTGAGTTCTGTGCACCTTGTGCTAGTTTCCATAATCTAATTTTTAGTTTGTGTTTTTTAAGTATTCTGACTTCATCATTTGGATACAACTCCAACTTCAGTATTTGGGGGGAATGATGACCAATAGATTTCAGGACCCACAATTCTTTCAGACCTTTTAAGAATCTCCCAGAACACTGTTGAGTGAATAAATGTAGTTAGCCCCATTTTACCGACAGAGACAAAACAGATGGCACATCTAGGCCATGCAGCAAAATGACTCTTTAAAAGGGATCCAAGAGTCAGACTCACAGTCCTTGCAGATGAGCTCTGTGAATCTTGGTGGAGCAGCTGAAAAAGTTCCTGAGTCCTCCAATGGAAATAATTTCTGGCAGAGGCACAGTGCGTTTATGCAAAGGGGAGGAGGAAAAAGAGATGAGAATGGCCAGTTTGTGCATCAGCTCATCTAACCTGGCATCTTAGCAAAAATCCACCATAATCAATGATGTAAATCTTTAACTGCAGTGGCAAGGTACAGTCAAACCACTCTGCTGCCCTTCCTGTGAAAACAGCAGCCTCTGATAGCAGGGCCCAGTGGACAGAGGGTTGAGCTGGAAATGAGAAAATACCATTACAGCTGGTCCAGCAAGATTTGGCACAGTTCACTCCTTGAATATTCATGCAAGGTTCCATTTGTCTGAATTCAAACTAAAGCAAAACAGACTCCAGCCTAAAATTTCATTGGAATCACTCAGGCAGATACATTCATTTGAAGACAGTGTGGACTGCTGTCTTTCTCATAAAACAAACAGCAGTCTCCAGAATCAGAAGACAGGCACCACTATTTGGTATTTTTGGGGTTTTCTCCACCTGAGAAGTATGCGTGAATAATTTCATCCTTAAAATTTGATATCATCTTAAGCTTTGTCATGCCTTTTTTCCTAAGGAATGTTGTAGTTTTAATACAGTGTTGAAGGATGGGAAGCTTCCACCATCCACATGCGCTTAGAATCAATTTATAGCATTGATTTGCAGTTCACAAATCTTAGTTCAGAAAGGTAATGAAGGGCTCTGACCAAGTAGTTTCATATCCTAAAATACGACTAGTTGTATGTTAATGGATGTACTGATGAAAGATACAAATTCCTGTTCATTCTATTATCATGTCAGATACAACAAATGAAGTACAGTAGAAAATTACATTGACTGCATTTTGACAGTCTTGTGCCTTTTTCTTCTCAATTCAGTTTTCCTCCCTACCTCAACACTTCAAAAAAATCAAGTGGTGAAATGAACCTAAATTTTAGGGATTATTACGCCAGAACAAGTACATGTCCACTTTCCTTATATTAAAGACTGAATTAAACTTTCTGTTAAAAAGTGGATTTATATTAAAAAAAGACGAAGAGTATCACGGTCAATCAGAGCCCAATGTGCCAATAGCTCTGAAAGTAGACACTTATCTAGTGAGGACAGAAATGAGGTCTGAGAAAAAGTGATCCACCAATAGATGGCAATAGCCCTTCATTAGCCATCTAAGAGTGCATTAAGATCAGCTACTAGCAGCAGAGATTTTCAAGCACCAGGCTTCAGTGCCAGAGAGGATCCAGGGTCTGCTCTCAGTACAGCTAAGAGGGAGTAACAAAGACCATGTTCCACAGTCTGAAGCACAAGTAAGGGCAGATTGGACCCAGGATTCTCATGACAGCTCAAGGCACGATGTGCTTACACCAGGGTTTGGGAAAAGGAGAAGCATGACAAAATTGAAAATGTTGTGCTAGCTAAAGAATTCTCTGTTCCCAAAGAACCTTCAGCTGCTGATTAAGGACACCTTCCAGATCCTTAGGGGACTATGGAAAAGATCTTTCACGTGGGGTAGAATCCTGCTCATGGCTTCTACTCTAAGGCAGTCACAATGCAAACTCCTGTGAAATCAGGGTGCTCTTCCTTCCTTACCTCCTGAGAACACTTTTGTATTGCCACTGTTGAAAGCTAGGCAGAAGATATTAGAGTGATGCTCCCCTTTCAGCTGAACTGGTTTGACTCTTGAGTGGATGGCTTCTTCCATATGCCAAAGTAAGACCCGGCGGTCATCCCCTCCTAGAAGAAAGAAAGGAAATGCACATTACTGCCTGAGCCATGTGTAAATTGATGACAGACGAGTTATTTAACTCTGCAATTATTCATAAAAGGCTCTGCTGAAACCCTAATTAGCATAAAATAAATCCTACCTCGCAAGGGTTTGGTTATATAGACACGCATTTACATTAAGATGCCATGCAGTCAGGTATTCAATTAA